AGATCTGCCTCTAAAAGTCCATTTATACAACGGTTGTTTCTTTGGACTATCTTCATAAGGCCTTGTTTGATCCATCAGCTAAATTTTAGCCGGCTAATTTTAGTTGTGGCAGATCCAAACAACCCATCCCATTAGCAGCTAGAAGGCTTCCCAGCTAATGGTAACCACCGCTGGTCACTTTTTGCTAACTCCCAAAGTTTGGCCTTCAGGAACTCACAATACCGCTTCGTGACTCGCCCTCGCGTCCCGCGACTCACAACACCGCTCCCGTCCCCCCGCCTCCACCACCGCTGGTCCCCCTCCCTCCCCCTCTGACATCTCACTAGAGACCAGAGGAAGTGGGGATCCATCGTTTTTAATAAGTTTTTTTTCTAGTAGATCGAGTCGTTAGGGTTAGGGTCTCTCCATGTCAGGTTTTTTAGTATTGGAGATTTATCTCCTCCTCTCTGGCGATGGCAAGGGGGCAGGCTGGATTTGTTTTCTCCATGGCGGCTCTGTTCAAGATGAGGGCGATAACTATGGCGTCAACATCTTCCTCTGCATGACGACATGGAGATTTTTCTTTCCGAACGGCGACATCAAGGTGGAGATGATGTCGCCACCATGGAATAATTTTCTCCGGTCTCTTCTCCTTTTTGTTGTGGTTAGATCTAGCCACAATGAAGGACTAGGGAGAATATGTTTCAGATCAGTCTTCCTCGTTCTTCGGTGGCAGAAAGAAGAAGAAGAAGAAGAAGAAGAAGAAGAAGAAGGAAGACATAAGAAAGAAGAAGTTCCTCAAGTCTGCATGCAGGAATGTTGGCCGTCGTTCATTGGGCATCTGTTCTCAAGTCTTTTGCTGAGTGTTTGCTGGTGCGGTCATCCATACGAAGCGTCATACAAGTTTGGATTTGGGTTTTGGAGCTATTCATAGCGTAGGTATAATTTAGATGAAAATTAGTTTTTGGATATATGTAGTGTATTCTAGAGTGCTTGTAACGTGATGTTGTACCTAGCTATAATCTAATATAATTCTTTTTTGTCTTAAAAAAGCTAATGGTAACCAGCTAATCCCAATAGCTGTTCAAGCCCAGCTGATAGGCTAATGGCAACTAAAATTGGATATTTACCAAACTGCCCTTCAACTTTTTTTGGCAGCGCGCTCGTTCCCACCGCTCTTGCAACTCCCCACCGGCCGTGTTTCTTTTCTGCAAGCCCATGACAGCTTCCACGAGCACCAAACCCTAGTCGTCGCAAGCAGACCACCGCTGCGACCCACGCCGCCACAAGCAGACCTCCATGGGATGGACAACCATGACGAGTTCACCGACGAGGAAGCCACCTGGGATCCACTATTCCCTATCTCCACCCCCTCAGCGGCCGCACCCACCTTCAGCGCGCCGAGAGGCTCCTGCTTTGGGCTTGATGTCGGCGAATTCGACCTTAACTCCGCGATTCCCGTCGACAACATGTCATTTATGGATATCCTTTGGTGCTGCAGAGGTCTCGCCGGATCTGGCTATTGGAGGTGGCGAGCGTGGTGGGTTGTATTGTCGTGTCATAGGAACAAGATGAAGAAGTTGATGAGATCCAAGCATCCGATGGCCATGGGCTCTTCATGACTTTGCTTCACCTCGACGCAAGCTTCCCGATGACGTCACATGCCTCCTCCTATTCCTGCTGAAACTCTAACCGGATTTTGGTGAGGCCCAGACTTGATAAACCATCCAATCGGTGGTTTTGAGGCCGCCCAAACCACCTGGAGAAGCGTATCTGCTACGCCTCCTCCACGATCTCGACACGTGTCAGTGTTGTCCTTGACTGCCCTATCACCAAGTCCTCTTGCACCTCCGCTTGACTTGGTCAACCATCATCTTGACTTGGCCAACACGGTCTACTACTCCTCATGAGCTCTTACTTGTTGATGTCCCCAAGTGTCAGCTACCACATGTAGTCTTCCGACCATCTTGGTCTCTCAGCCCATGTCTCACATCCATCCTTCACCATTCGCCGCTCCCAGTTCATCAGCACGGCCTGTCTCTACTTGACCTTCTCCATGCCCGTCGATCATCTCTGTGCTCCACACATGCACACAAACACAACAAAGAGACATGTTGCACACACACTCACACAATGGTTAGTCTTCAAACACAACCAAAGCCGACAATTACTCATCACAAACTCGACACACAAGGGCACATCTCAACCTTGTGTTCGCACTTACTACTGAAACCAAAACATCAGCTTTTAGCACAACAAAATAAACCACCTACTAAGCTCATGATTCGGTCTTGATCTTTGTCACTTCTTGAGCACACAGCTCGTGTACAGAATAACATGGACAACAACAGTGAGGAGAAACTACAATTATGTCAGCCAACCGCAACGAGCAAACAGCAAGAGCATGTAACCAGAACAAAATCTTGCACGAAAAAAGGAAGAAAAGCAAAAGGTAAACTACATGCCAAGCTAGTAAAGAGGAAAGGTCAGCAAGAGGACCCGCAAAACTCGCAAGAACCGAGAACACAAGACAGCAAAACCCCATCTGTGATTGCGGTCATCACAGACGGGTAGATACTCGGCCCGTCTATGTTGTAAGCATCATCACACATGCACAAATTCTCCGTCTGTGATGAAGTTGAGGTCCGTTTGCCATTACAGACTCTTCTTTGGCGATCTGGAAGGAGTTGGTGACGACTCGGTTGGCTGCGGTCCTTTTGGACTGGCGCCGCGATGGATGGTCACGGATGTCTGCGACCAGTCTTCTACAGCTGTGCCAACCAGTTGTAGACGGCTCTTCGTCGTTGGCTGCCGGTGTGGGGAATTGACATCGATGCTACAAGCTTGTTGGTTCGTCTGCAGCGGCTTTGGTGTGGCCATCCGTGGATGTCTGGTGTTTGGTGGGATAGTGGCGGCTTTGAAGCTGGCGCCATGGTGACAGGTCACGCAGGCCTGCGACTTGTTCAGCATAGCAGCATCTTCCCACTAATGATGGCTTTCTGCGGACATTGCCTCGGTGGCTAGCCTCGCATGGCATGACTAGTTTGGTGCGGCAATGGTGGGCCTTTTGTTTTGGGGGTTGAATTAGGATTTGGGAGATTTTCAGATGAAAGCCCTGCTCGACTCTGTCGATCTAGCAATGGTGTTGCTTTTTGCATCATGTTCCTCGTTGGAGGCATTGTTGTGAGGTCCCCCATCTCCTGTGTTTCTCATGGTTGAAAAAACTAGAGCCGGTCTTTCGGTTGACGGTGGCGGCGTCTAAGAACGTCACAACCTCCTTGGAGGCATCGTTATTGAAAACCCTCTCCCCCCAACAAAGTTCGCCTCACTCGCATAGGGTGTTCCTTCGTCGTCAGTGCTTAGGTTTCTTCAGTGATTGTCGTTGTGTGAGTTTGTAGTGTTATGTCTTTGTAACCTTCTTCTTTATCAATACATGCCCGGCAAAGCTCTTGTCGGCAGCTCGTAAAAAATGTTTAGTGAGTAATTAGTTTCTTGCTTTCTCCACCTACGCTGTGCCACTGCGATTGGCTACGCTTCTCGCGCATGTAATAGACGTTGACTTTGCTTATTCTTGCTTATTAATATGATCAAGCCAGGCAACCAGATCTAAAAAAAAAGGCTTTTAGCACAACAAAATAAACCACCTACTGAGCTCATGATTCGGTCTGGATCTTTGTCACTTCTCGAGCACACAGCTCATATACGAAATAGAGCTTTTTACCTGTGTGCCATTATAAAAGATAGTCCTGACCTATATGCCACTGAAAAGTTTAAACGCACCCGGGTGCCATGACGCTAAACTTTCTTGTCCTTCACGCCATTCCGTCCGCCTTCTGACATTTGGGCCCGACCAGGGGAAATGTACAAAATGCCCCCCTCTCCCAATCCATCCCCACGCATGTCGCGCTCCTGCGGTCCTGCCCCTCCGGCGCTTGCTGCGCTCCCGGTCCAGCAGCCCGTCCTTGTTGCCGTGGACGCCGCGCGTGCATCCTCGCCACCGTGGACGCAGTCTCCTCGCTCGCAGCCGCGACCGCGTCATCCTTGTCGGCTCGCTTGCGGTGTCCGGACAGCTCGCGCCGAGCACCTCGCGGACAATTGCCGCGGCCGTGGGGCTCCAGCCCTGCTCTTCTTGCAGGATGGCCCGCACAGCCACTGGGGTGGGCGGGGCGCCTACGGCAGCGCCCGCACTACTAGCGTCGAGGACGGCCCGCGCGTCCGCGGCGTGGGGCGGGGCGCTCGCGGCGGCGCCCACGCGTAGCAGCTGGCGGCTGCGGTGGCTCCCGGCGGCAGTGGCCCATGGCGTTGGGCTGCGCAGCGGTGACGCCGCCGACGTCGAGCCACCGGTCCATTGGCATGCACTCGGCCTTGTGCGCCATCTTCTAGTGCAGCGCTAGGCACGCGCGGGAGTAGTATTTCACCACGCCGCACACCGAGCACCGCCTGAACTCGTGCCGCCGCGTATCGGGCCGCCCGCACAGCGCCTGCGAGCACAGCCGCAGCGCGCCGCTAGCGTCCTCCTCCAGTGAGGCCGCCGCGGTCCCGGGTTTGCCGTTGCCACCCGCGTCGCCGGGTGCTGTCGCCACTACACCCAGCGGCCGCGATGCGAACCAGCCCACAAGGAACCGGTTGGCCGTGTGCGCGTCGCCGGCAGCGGCGCGCCACCCGAAGTTGCTCAGGAGGCACGAGTGCCGACGCGCCTTGCCGCCGTCGGCCCCAGCCCCCGCCCCTGCCACCGAGGCGGAGGCAGTCACCGTGGCTTGGAGCTTGCACGTGTTCGCCTGGATGAGGAGGCGCCGCCCGTCCAACATGGGCCGGTGCATGCCGTAGCCATCCTGGAGGCAGTGGCCCAGCTCGCGGAGGTCGCGGTCGTCCTTGCTGCCGTTGAACTGGATCACGGCCAGCGAGTAGAGCGCCTCGAGGTGCCCGCCCACCGCCGTTGCCGCCGCCATCGGCGCCGCGCCCGAGCCGCGGCTGCCTGGCAGTGGGGTGCGAGACCGAGACGCCGGGGCGCCCAACCGGCCATGGAGCGGGAGAGGAATGGCGGTGCGGCGGCTGTGTGTGAAGAGAACAACTTCTTCTACCACGACGACGCGCAGGTAGATGAAGATAAAAGGATGAGGAAGACGGTGACCGGGTCACATGCAGCTTGGCCCCACTAGCCTGAGAGAGAAAGGGAGAGGACAAGGTTATAAGAGAAGGGTATTATGGACATTATCACTGGTCGGGCCCGTATGTCAGGGCTGTCAAACGGTGGAAACCTAACCGAAGGCGAACGGAATGACGTGGAAGAGAAGAAAGTTTAGCGTCATGGCACCGTTCGAACTTTTTAATGGCCTGTAGGTCAGGACCATATTTTATAATGGCACACAGGTAAAAGGCTCTACAAAATAGCATGGACAACAACAGTGAGGAGAAACTATAATTATGTCAGCCAACCGCAACGAGCAAACAGCAAGGGCATGTAACCAGAACAAAATCTTGCACGAAAAAAAAGGAAGAAAAGCAAAAAGTAAACTACATGTCAAGCTAGTAAAGAGGAAAGGTGAGCAAGAGGACCCGCAAAACTCGCAAGAACCGAGAACACAAGGCAGCAAAAACCCGTCTGTGATTGCGGCCATCGCAGACCGGTAAACACCCGGCCCGTCGTCTATGATGTAAGCATCCTCACACACGCACGAATTCTCCGTGTGTAATAAAGTTGAGAAGTCCGTCTGCTACTACAGATGACCCTGGCAGTCTGGCACAGTGTCTGTGAGACGTAAGACGTTTTGATACGTTGAAAGCAAATTCCTGGTTCTAGGCACCTTCGGCTTGGTGATGAACTCAAAGCATTATGTGGAAAATAGGGTAAATCTTTGTCCGTTTATCCGGAATCGCGCGTGCTTGATGTGATCGAACTGCGCGGCTGTACGTCAGTTAAGTCAGTCGTTGGCTTGTAGTTGGCACTAGTCCAACGATTTGGAAGGGAAAGATGTACTCCGTGGTCGCCGTGCTCGATCGTGTTGCTGTTGCCCTCGGAGAGAAGCGACAGCCGCGCTCAACTTTGTCTAGCAAGATGGAGACCCATACCGTTGACGGCCTCCTCCTCGGATCGATACGTGGTCTCCTCTAGTCGGTTATACTATTATCTCTTTATTAATTATTAGCCGCCTTACATTTTGGCATTTTGCCCGCGCGCGTGTGTATAAATGAACGAGCCCCGAGAGCGTAGCTTTGCTCATTCACAAATCACAACCAAGGCTTAATTAGTAGGCTGCTAGCTCTTGGTCTGTGTGTTTTTTTAAAGCCTCTCGTCTGGGTACAGTTATAGCATCTATTCAAACACTGCGTGGCCACTGCCGCCGCTAGCCACTCGAGCTGAGGCTCGGTCTCTCTTGGTCTGTGTAGTTGCACCAGCAGCCCAAAAACATATATAGCCGATCAGCGTAGCCACCGTCACAGTTTTTCTTTCCTTCTTTCCCATCATCATTCGGAGCACGTAAATCGGCTGCGGGAGACTGGCTATCGACGCGATGTCCAAGGTAGTAGCCAAGCAGGCCTTCTGTTTTATTTGCTCTTTACTTTGATTCGCCATGTACGTGTTCCCATATATGTAAAAAATATTTGATTCTCACTTTTAAGAAGCCACAATTTTAGATCGATCTGACCAAATTTATAACAAAATACTAACATTTATGACACTACAGTAAATAATTATAATTCAACTAACCATGAAATGTATTTTTACATAGTAAAAATATTTGAACACATAAAGTTATTTTTTATATAAATTTAGTCAAACTTGAGGAAATTAACTTGGTTTAAATTTAGAATTATATAATCTTTTTTGGACTAACGGAGTATGTATATATGAACTTGTGTCCTGCCAAAAGAAACTGATGGTAGCTTGGGCTCGTCGTTGTTGTTGCAGCAAAAGACTGTGATCAGGCTGGGGGTGCCGAACTCCAAGAACCGGTCTAAAGCCATGCAGCTGGCATCCAAATTTGTCGGTACACACCATCACACTAGCTTGCTAGCTATTACTATCTTGATTATCGAACTTCGTGATCCGTCCACATATCCATGAATACACTCTTGTGCATGAGTACTTAGCACTGCGCGCCTCGATGTATGATGTATATGCAGGAGTGACCTCGGTGGCGACCGCCGGCGAGGACCGGCTGGAGGTGGTAGGAGAAAGCGTCGACATCCCCTGCCTGATCAACCGCCTGCGCAAGAAGGTCTGCCTAGCCGACATCGTTTTGGTGGAGGAAGTGAAGGACAAGAAGAAGGAGGAGGAGGAGAAGAAGAAGAAGGAAGAAGAAGCCAAGAAGAAGAAGGCGGAAGAAGATAAGAAGAAGGTGGAAGAAGCGAAGAAGAAAGCGGAAGAAGAGCTCAAGAAGCTCTGGGGGGCGTGCCCGCCGCCGTACTACGGCGGTTATTACCGCGGGCCGCCGCCGCCGCCGACGCCGACGCCGACGTTTGTATGCGAGGAACAGCCAGAAGCAGGCTGCCACATCATGTGAACTGAAGCTACGCACTACTTAAAGATGGAATTTTGCCCGGCGTATATATATGCTTAATATGTTTGTGTTTTTGGTTCTGAACTTTTGCCACGTCGGTCGGCTTCTCTCCGTCAACCGTGCTGTACTGCTGTGCGCATGTGCACAAAACGTGGTTCTGGTTTGCTTTGGCTCTTCAGTGATCACGCAGTTATTTAGATCACGACTATATATACGTATTTCTGAATTTGTTTTAAGTTAAAATATTCTTAATTTGACCAAGTTCATAAACGAAAGCATTGACACCTACCACATCCTATAAGTAAGCTATGAAAGCATATTTCATATAAGAGGTCAATGATGTAGGGGTGAAAACGGTACGGATATTTTCTGACCGTATTCGAGACCGAATCCGTTTAGAGGGGTTCAGATCTGTCCGTATCCGAGTTCGGATATTAAATATTTGATATTGTATCCGTATCCAAATACTTAAATCGTATATTTATGATGTCGATATCCAATCATATCCTATCCGGCATGGTTGACACTATCCGTATTCGAATTCGAATCCGGACAGAAATACGAAAACAAATGTAATATCAGTGATATCCGTCCAATCCGATCCGTTTT